CAATATTGTAAAGTAATTAGCCTCCAACTAATAAAAATAAATGGAAAAATTAAAAAAAAAATTATATGCAATCTTTAAAATCCCACTGAAAGACCCAAAATTCTCAGTGTTTTTAAAATGTGCTCCAGATGACTGAAACTGTTAAATTTTCATGAGCTAAGATAAAAATATCTGATAGAATGATAAGTGATATTTATTAAACTCTCTGTTCTAGGTACTTTACATATATGAATATGCTTAATCCTTGCAGCTGCTTTTTGAACTCTGTGGACTGAATATTTAAATATTCAAATGAATATTATTTCCATTTTACTGATGAAACTATCTCTCGACAACAAGATACAGAGATGTATGTTTTTTTTTCTTTTTTATTGTATTGAAGTATAGTTGAAGAGTCCATCTCCCAAACTCTCCATTTTGCAGCCTAAAAATCTATCCCGATTTAACTCCCCATTCCACCCTCCCCCCACCCCTTGGCAGCCACCTACTTTCTGTCTCTATGAATTTGACTACTTTGTCATATTCCCTGGTGGCTCAGGTCACCTGCAATGCAGGAGACCCAAGTTCATTCCCTGGGTTGGGAAGATCCCTTGGAGAAGGAAATGGCAACCCACTGCAGTATGCTTGGAGAACCCCACAGACAGAGGAACCTGGCAGGATACAGTCCATGGGTTTGCAAAAGTCAGATTCTTACGAGACGGTTTCTCTCTAACAGTTCCTTTGACTCATCTTTTTCTAGTCATGAAATTATTGAGACATCCATTAGAGCTCTATTAAGAGGGGCTTCGCTGATCGCTCAGATGGTAAAAGAATTTGCCTGCAATGCAGGAGACCTGGATTTGACCCTTGGGTTGCGAGGAGAAGGGAATGGCAGCCCACTCAAGAGTACTTGCGAAATCCCATGGAGAGAGCCTGGTGATCTGTAGAGTCCATGAGGTTGCGGAGTCAGACACGACTGAGCATCTAGCACTCTCACACTTTCAAGAAGCGATAAAATCAGTAGTGAAAAAGACCAGTATAAAAAGTTATAAATATTTTCATACACACATAAGTATTATTTTAATAAATGAGCCTCTGTAGTATTTACATATTTGGTTTTATAAGCTTACTAATATTCCACTTAAAATATTTCTAATTGCTCCCACTTGACAGTAAATAGAATTAACCTTTCATTTTACTTCTTACTGAAGGTCAGAAACATTTCCACATTTCAGTTAGGAATAATTAGATTTTAATGATCCCAAGATTCCTCAGCCTGCATTTCTACTCATTGGAAAGTAATGTTGCTAGTGAAACTTTTGGAAGTATCTTATGTTGACCACACCACAAACACCCCCGAAAAAAGGACAATTTGTTACTTTTTTCCAATTGATTATATATTGGGAGTTAGTTTCTCTTAAAAAAATTTCCTAAGAACTAGAAAATTTCCAAGAATTGATTATTCTTCTAAAATACTGCTTTTAGATAAGCATTTGTTTATTGTGTTCCTTTATATATTGAGCTTTCTCAAAATATTTAACTTAAAAGAGTGCCTTGAATATAGGAAGTTGGCAATTGCTCCCGGTATGTAGTTAAGAAAAGTTTCTCCTCTAGGTTCTCATAAAGAAAGCACTCAGATGTGATAGATGTTTTTGATAATATCCATGTCAAATAATAGCACAATAATAACACAATAAACACAATATAAGCTTTTCAGTACTGAAGCTGGTGGTTGTCCTTACATGACTAAAAACGGGGTCATTAAAAACAACTTGATGAAAGGTCAAAGACATGCATTCTGAGATGCGTGGTCCTCTGAAAGTCCAGCTTGACCCAAGAACAGAATTTAGAATTTGAGAAATATAATAAAAGAATTATCCTCAGGTATTCCTCCATGAGTTGATTTCTTATGATTGAGTTTTTGATCAAAACAGGACAGTAGATAGTTTGAAGTAAAATTCTCTAGCAGCGTAGGAAACGTCCATATGCTGGGTGACAATCAGGGTAAGGTTGATGGTTTCTCAGGAACATTAAAGACTCTCATAACGGCTCAGGCCTAATGAGGAAGCCTCTCATCCCACCCCATGCTGCCTCCTATGGTGGACTGGGACTCAACAAGGCAGTGTTCTCAGGCTTTCCCACTGTAGACACAGCTTGGAAAGTCCAAACAATTTTCTCCATCATGATAAATCTTTATTACATGTTCATCATCACTATTTAAACAAGACTTCCCCTCCCTCTCTTAAATGTAGCACCAAATTATCTCTATTTAACTGGTAATAAGATCCTGGGTTTTTGGGGGTAATTCCCTGGTGGCCCAGTGGTAAGAACTTGGTGTTGCCATGGACTTGGGCTCAATCCCTCATCTGGGAACCAAGATCCTGCCTCCTTGAATCCCTGCCCACCTCTGCCCCCTGACAAAATTGAAAGCATTGATACTAAAAGGAACCTTCAGTTCAGTTCAGTTCAGTCGCTCAGTCGTGTCCAACTCTTTGCGACCCCATGAATCGCAGTATGCCAGGCCTCCCTGTCCATCACCAACTCCCGGAGTTTACTCAAACTCATGCCCATCGAGTCGGTGATGCCATCCAGCCATCTCATCCTCTGTCGTCTCCTTCTCCTCCTGTCCCCAATCCCTCCCAGCATCAGGGTCTTTTCCACTGAGTCAACTCTTCACATGAGGTGGCCAAAGTATTGGAGTTTCAGCTTCAGCATCAGTCCTTCCAATGAACACTCAGGACTGATCTCCTTTGGATGGACTGGTTGGATCTCCTTGCAGTCCAAGGGACTCTCAAGAGTCTTTTCCAACACCACAATTCGAAAGCATCAGTTCTTCAGCACTCAGCTTTCTTCATAGTCCAACTCTCATATCCATACATGACCACTGGAAAAACCATAGCCTTGACTAGACGGACCTTTGTTGGCAAAGTAATATCTCTGCTTTTTAATATACTATCTAGGTTGGTCATAACTTTCCTTCCAAGGAGTAAGTGTCTTTTAATTTCATGGCTGCAATCACCATCTGCAGTGATGTTGGAACCCCAAGAAATAAAGTCTGACACTGTTTCCACTGTCTCCCCATCTATTTCCCATAAGGTGATGGGACCAGATGCCATGATCTTCGCTTTCTGAATGTTAAGCTTTAAGCCAACTTTTTCACTCTCCTCTTTCACTTTTATCAAGAGGCTTTTTAGTTCTTCTTCACTCTCTGCCATAAGGGTGGTGTCATCTGCATATCTGAGGTTATTGATATTTCTCCCAGCAGTCTTGATTCCAGTTTGTGCTTCTTCCAGCCCAGCGTTTCTCGTGATGTACTCTGCATATAAGTTAAATAAGCAGGGTGACAATGTACAGCCTTGAGGTACTCCTTTTCCTATTTGGAACCAGTCTGTTGTTCCATGTCCAGTTCTAACTGTTGCTTCCTGACCTGCATACAGGTTTCTCAAGAGGCAGGTCAGGTGGTGTGGTATTCCCATCTCTTTCAAAATTTTCCACAGTTTATTGTGATCCACACAGTTGATGGCTTTGGCATAGTCAATAAAGCAGAAATAGATGTTTTTCTGGAACTCTCTTGCTTTTTCAATGATCCAGCAGATATTGGCAATTGATCTCTGGTTCCTCTGCCTTTTCTAAAACCTTAGGGGTCACTTAGTCTGTCTAGTTTTACATGCAACCGGAGAGAGAAAGGAAAAAAAGCACCAAAATTGTCTGCTGAGGTCACCCAGAGAGTTTATTTTCCCATGTTTATTTCACAGGTCAGAGTTTCTTGAATCTGTGATAGATGAACATTTGAAGTTTATCATATAATAGCAGCTAGCATATGTACAGTTTGTGAAATTCTACTGAGGTCACCCAGAGAGTTTATTTTCCCATGTTTATTTCACAGGTCAGAGTTTCTTGAATCTGTGATAGATGGACATTTGCATTTTATCATATAATAGCAGCTAGCATATGTACAGTTTGTGAAATTCTTAAACATGCCCAGCTGCAGGGACACCTGCTGAGCATGTGCTAGAGGAAGGTGGTGGCTCAAGGTGCTGGGTTGTCTCACCCTCTGCTGGGAGCACCTGCTGAGCTAATATTTACACTTGAAGTTTAGTGGCATATGTTTATTTGCTGTTTTCCTATATATATATTTCTTCTTAAACTGTGTCCATGTAATATTTGCTACAAAGGAAAGACAATATGCAGTGTACGTATAAGTTATAAATCAGAATAATAAAGCGCGTATAAGCCTACTGTCTAACATCGTAAACTTTGTCACTAAAATCTGTTTTATTTGCCTCTGCAGTGTAAGTCACTAAAAATGTTATTAAATATGTACTCTATGCATGCAAAGTACCATGTTAAGTGTTGTTGAAATTTTGAGACTGTTCTGATACTTATCCTTTCTAGCATCTCTTGGTATGAGCTGAAGTGGAGTTGGCGTCAGAATGAGGGTTAAGTTTTAGGTAAAGGGTTGGAGAAGAAGACGTTGAGCACAGAGGGCTTTAGGCTTTTGTTGTAGAGCAGTTTGCTTGTTGTTCTCTCCTGGCCACAGGCAGCGTTACTTCTCCCTTCTGAGCCAACCTCACACTAAAACTAAGGTAACATATATACATCAAGACTAATTAGTGCTTGTGTATTTGCCGTTTTTAATCAGGCAAAGGAAATGTGACTCTTTACCTTTGGAAAGATTGAGGGTGTTGGGTTTCGTTCTTGGTGTTTTGTTTTTGGCTGTAGTGCTTGCACATTTTTCACACTTCACCAGCATAAATTGTTTGCCTTTGGCTTTCCCAAGTTTGGGATCTGCTTCTTAACCTCGTTTCTCAGAACTGAGATTTGTAAAAATCTGTAACACTAGTCTGAGAGTCAGTTATATTCATTCAGTCAAGCAGCCGTTACTATCTGTTTAGAACCTATTATGTGGGGAAATACTGATCTTTATTAGCACCACGCTCTAACCAACTGAGCTAACCGGCCACCTGATAAATACTGATCTTTAAAGTCTCAACTGAAGTGAATGTTTCTCTCTCACTTAGAATGGTACAAAACCCCCACTGGATGCAGATGTAAACTTGGAAGCAATTGCTGGTGACCTTCGCTGTGATTGTTATACGTAAGTATGTCAGTCTCAGATCACTTAACTCTCTGAGGCCCCGTTTCCTCATGTGTAAAATGCAGGAGAGTGATAACAGGAGGATTAAGTTAGGAGTCCTGTAAAGCACCCAGGGGCTGGCTCTTCCTCCTTCTTAGAGACAAAACCACCCATTTTGAGGCTCTGAGGAGTTCTCAGGAATAGGGGCGTCCTCTCGTATGTCAACCGCTGATGTTCAGCCACCCTGACCACCATCACTGCCCTTCACAGTTTGTCTCTCTGTCCTTCCAGAACATTGCAGGAGACATCTCATTACCAGCTGCCAAATTATCTAGGTGCTTCAGCATTTAAAGAAAATAATCTACAAGCTTTTCAAGCCTCAGAATGCATTTTTCATAGCATACCTGTTAATATCTACACAATCTATATGAAAACGGGAGGTCAGATATTTCTGCTTTCATAGTTTGTTGTGGTTATGAGTTTTTGTTGTTTTCTTTATTATGATGAAACTTCATTATAGTAACTTTCCCAATTTTGGCTCACAGGGAAGGAAATGAAATTCACATTTAACAGGGCACATCTCTCCCTCCATTTTTTTTTTTTTTTTTTTTAATGAGAGGGTGAACCTCAAAACATGTGGGATCTTACTTCTCCAAGCAGGGATTGAACCCATACTCCCTGCCGTCGAAACATGGAGTTTTAACCAATAGACCACCAGGGAGTTCTCCTCTGGCTTATTTTTAAAGCCCTGTTGATTGTCCACAATATACTTGGTGTTCATGATATTCCTGTAGCTCAAGGCCAAATAAATGTGCTTTCTGAAGCTGAGTCAATCAAGGAAGGTGGTGTTTTAATCTTTGAGATCTTCTAGAGTCTGTTGTACACAGTGTAAATTTATATCCAAAGAATATAGCTACTGATACAAGCACTCAGTTCTTTCCAGTTCTGGTTGAAGAATTTCACAATACTGTCTCATGAAATGATTACACTTGAAACCATGCTACTCACTTTTAGGGAGTGTGGCCAGGATCCAAAGTCTAATTTCCAGTTTTTTCATACGTAGACATCTTAGGGATCTGAGCCTTGATCTTAGTTCTGCTACCGCAACCCCAGTGCTCCTGAGAGATTTGCTGCACTCTGGTCAGGACTCTTGTCTCACTTAAGAAAGCGGTGACTGTCTCAGTGAAGGGGAAGTGGTCAGTCCCAGGCCATGGTGTTGAAGGGCCTGTGTAAAAGCCCTGCATTACCTTTAAGGAGGATGTACCTTTTCCCCTCATTGGGAATCAAATGCGTGCCAGTCTATAGTTAATGAACTTACTGCTAAAGAAAATAGGACTTAAGTGAATAGTTTGCATATTTGAGTGCTAAAATCTGAAAAGATTTTCAGTTGGTAACAGAGGCAATTTTGATGCAGAACTGACCCTGGCCCAATCTTTTGGATTATACCACATATGAGGTTATTTATTAAATGGGTCAGAGTTAAACTTGAATGGTATTATGCTTTAGGTTTTAATACCACTGTCATCACAGGGACTGTGTAATACTGCAGCCTTCAGCTACTTGTTACATTAGTTAATGGTGTCTCTGCCCCAGTGTTGATTTAATTTATGGGGTTTCCCTGATGTCTCAGACAGTAAAGAATCTGCGTGAATGCAAGAGACCTGGGTTCAAGCCCTGGGTCAGAAAGATGCCCTGGAGAAGGGAATGGCAACCCACTCTGGTATTCTTGTCTGAAGAATTTTATGGACAGAGGAGCCTAGTGGGCTGTAATTCATGGTGTTACATAGAGTTGGACACGACTGAGTGACTAACACTTTCACGCTTTTCACAAAGAAATGAATACCCTAGCATGTATGTGATTGTTAAATAATAATACAAACCTAACACCTAACCAGCAGTAACATTGAGTTCAGTTAATAATTTAAACTAAATAATATTAGGTATGTGAATTATCAGTATTATATATTAAATAAGTTTGTGTAGAGATTAGGATTTTTTTTTTAAGATGAGGTTTTTATCTCCCAGTTGAAACTCTTTCTCAAAGAATCTCTAAGAATCCTGTTAAAAGATGTCATGTATTGAAACACCAGTCAACCCCAACATCTTTCATTGAATGCAAGAACCATGCTGATTGAGCATATTATTACACAGACCAATTAAATGAAGACTTGTTAGTTCTTGTCATATTTTAAGTAATTTATGATGTGTCAATTCAGCTTGAGCTTGAATCAAGTGCATCAAACACTTTAGCCTTTGTATTTTCCTTTTTTGAAGGAGGGGTCATAAATGACTTTTTATATAAGCTTAGTTTAGACTTTAGGTAATATACTAATGGTATATACTTGTAATGGGCCAGTTTGTACTTTAGCATGAGCCTTGTGAATAAAATTTTACAGTAAATAATGTGTAAGTTGCTTTCTTCTGACTGTTTTAGACTTTTTATATTAACATTGCTATCTATAGTGATTAGCATGAGAATATTTGACTCACTGCATGTTTCCTTCATAATTTCCTTTCTTCTAAAACTTAGAAGTATTTTGAGTAAAAACTAAAAGCTCTTTCCTAGTGACCATGATTGGTTTATCCCACCTTTGTTGGTCAGTTTCTTTCCTGAATGTTTAATATGTAACTTAAAAGGAAATTACAGGACTTCCCTGGTGATCCAGTCCAGACTCCGCCTTCCAATGCAGGGAGCACAGATTCGATCCCTGATCAAGGAGCCAAGATCCTACCTGCTTCTTGGCCAAAAAACCAGAACATAAAACAAGCAATATTATCACAAATTCAATAAAAAGACTTTCAAAAAATACATTTAAAGAAAAAAGGAAATTGCTTTCAGACTTTTTTCTGGGCTTTTGCACAGTGTCTAAGAATAAATGAGTTAAGAGTTCTTCTCTTATTTCAGAGGTGCAGATCTCTCTGCTTTGGTACGGGAGGCTTCTGTCCTTGCCCTGAAGCAGGAAATGGCAAGACAGAAGAGTGGAAATGAAAAAGGTACAGTTCTCTCCAAAATCTCTCAGTCCTAGTTAATTATCACTCTGGGTACCTAATGCCACTGGTAACCTGGAAAATGACCATTTTCTAGCATCTATCATCTGTGATATTAAAACTGACATTTTTCTGATGAGACCTTTAGCAGCTGTTCGGGAATATTATATAACCTCTGTAACTGACAGCTATAATAATAGCAGTTACTTGGTGCCTTATACAATGTATTCTTTCTTTGCTTATCATCATATGAGAATGTTTAGAGTAAGGCTGTGTAGCTACATATACTGTTTTCATCATGAGTTTGATCTGTTTATCAGTCCTGGAAAACCTCCTCATTCTTTTGTTAGGGTGATACCTACTGTTAAAATGTAACTTAACCTGAAGAGCTTAGAAAACACATAAGAAATGAAAATTGAAATGACTTTCCATATACTTATACTTTCTTTTGGGACATCTCAACAGCTTTGTACTGTTCTTCGCATTTGACAGTGTATTTGAGAATACTATTTGGGTGTGTGTAGATGAAAATGATTTATTTGTGACCTGTAGTCTGACTGCCAAGTAGAGAAATAGCCTCTGCTTTGCTTGGTTCCTGGGAGAATTGTTGGATCAGTTGCAGTGTGTGGCCGTCTTTGAACATAGATATTTAGTACTATCGAATACTTTCTTCAGAAAGACCTGCCTTTTCCTCCAAACCTGTACTTTCATCTCAAGTTCAAACCTGTATTGATCTCCTTTTATTCATTAGGTTTCCCAGAAGATGTTTCTTTATTTGTGTTTATTTCATTTATTCTTTTCCCTTTTTTCTTTGGCTACCAGGAATCTTGGAGCTAACTTTTGTTTACAGTTACAGCAGCATATGCTTAGCTTAGATTTATCAATACACATATCTTCTTTTTTTTATGATTTTTAATTATTTAGGCTTTACTTTTTAAAAATTTATTCATTTTTAATTGAAGGATAATTGCTTTATAATATTGTGTTGATTTCTAGCATACATCATCATGAATCAGCCATCAGTATGCATATATCTCTTCCCTCCTGAACCTTCTTCCTACCTCCTACCCCATCCCACCCCTTCAGTTGTCACAAAGCCTTGGTTTGAGTTCCCTCAGTCATCCAGCAAATTCCCACTGGCTACCTGTTTTACATATGGTAGTATATATGTTTCTATGTTACTCTCGCCATTTGTCCCACCCTCTCCTTCCCCCACCCCTTTTTATGTTTAACAAACATTTATAAGGGAGGAAAATGCTCCAGACTAAGAAGTGAACCACTCTTACATACACAAACAATTTTTTAAGGCAAAATGTACCCTACGGGACCAGGAAAATCTAACCTGCCATAGAAATCAGACAGGTGAAATACAGTATAATAGAAACAAAGATGTTCTCTTTTCCGTAAAACCAAGTTGATGGATGCTAGTAAACTTAAATGCATATATAGAGGCTCCCAGACCAGTCTGCTGTCTAAATTCCTTCCAAAGTACCATTTCAGAGACAAGAAGGAGGGATTTAGAGGGGACAGTCTTTAAATCATCATTTTACCTTCAGTTCTTTGCTCCACTGACTTCTGAGAGGTTGGCATATTAGGGATCTTCAAATTTAAAAGAAAGGCCAAAGCTTGACTAATGCGATCTAAGAAAAAATGGTATAAATTCCAAATGCCTGTGCAGTTTTCTATAGTTTCCAGCATTCTGCCTTGAAAATTTATCAGATTTAAAACTTAAGCCACACACACACACACAAAAAAAGACAAAAGCGAAAAAAGAAAAAAAAAACTTAAGATGGTATAATTTTAGGAAAAAGCATTATCCAAAATATGAATTAATTAAGGTAACACTAAAATCATATACCCTAAATTCAAGTCTAATGCCATTTTGTTGTTCTGGGTTACTTGATGTGTAGGATGATGTATGCAGATATTAACTTTGTTTTTGAAAAAACTTGAAAATTTTCCAGTGTGATTCTGTCTTACAGTTTCCTCGGTATACATTCAGGAATCTCCCTCTTTGAGGTTGAATTCTACTGATCACCAACATGGTCCTCTTAAACATAGGTCTCTGTCCATCATCCCCCTCCACCATGGTCTAAAAAATGTTCCATCTTCCATAGTTTGGGGCCTGATACAGCCAGAGCTGAAAATAAGTATACTTCACCTTTGCTGATTTCCATATTTCAGCTTAGTACAAATAGGAGTCATGGCATTGACTGACCTCTTCTCTGTACAGCATTACTTTTGCAGTTATTCTACTGTATTACTTTTGCAGTTATTCCACTACTATTCTATTTTCCTCAGAAATATTAAGATGTATGTGCTTAAATATCTTAATGCTATGCGTAAGAGCAACACTTTCAGTAAGAAGTATTAAGTTGGAAAAAAAATAATAAACCTGAAAAACTGGATGTTTTCTTGTTTTTAAAGAAAGAGGGCTGAATTCCCTGGTTTCAGAATTAAAATTTGACTCTAGTTTAAATGTAAAAAGAAGGACAATTGATGTACTTCTTTGTGTCAAATTTCACTTAAACTTTAAAGTATCAGTGCAGAACAGAAAGAAAGAACTGGAAAGAAAGGATAGATATATGGCGCTAGTTATTATTTAAGATCAAAATCAAAAGTATATCAGGAATTGGCCTCTTTTAGGGAGTCCTTAAAAAAAAAAAACTACACTGTCATTTGGAGTAGCCACTGCACATCAATTTTGAGATTTCTTTAAATAAGTTAGTATTCTTGTCTAGCCAGCTATGTGAAATTTTTCAGAGTAATTTTACTAGGAGGTAATTGGATATCATTTGGTACCTTCACATATGACACTGACATGGAATAACAAGTTGACAGGTGGGAAAAGGGAGAAAGGAAGACCCACAGAGTATAAAGTGAATTATAATATGTGTAAAAACTTTTTAAAAAGTAGGGCTGAAGAATTTGAAACCATAAGAACAAGCTATGTGTATACATATATATCTAAAAAACAGTTTTATGTCTTCAAAATTAGAATGTTATTTTACTTTAAATGTACAGCATGCAAAATGCTTTGTAAGAGTACAATGCGGGGGGAAAAAAGAGTAGAATGCATATAACAATATAAATTTTCACAATTTTTTAGTAGATGACTGTTCTGGATCAAAAAATTAACGTTCCAAACACTTTGATCAAATGTTTATTTTTTTTGTTTCCAGCATTACAGTTTGCTATAATAAACTTTAAATAAGTTTCTAGACACCGACCTAGGTCCTTAAGCACTCACATACCCAGCAAAGAGATTATTCACCCAGCCATCACTCTTGCTTGGACAATGCTTACTGGACAATTTAAAGTGTATATGAATTGTTTACAGCTGTAGTTTTGCACTAAGTTTTCAATTGCTGAGTTACATGTTTTTTCACCTTGATACCTTATGATCATTAGAAAGCTACTTACTTACATAATGTTATAATCACACACTATGCTAACTGCCTATTTGTAACTATAAGAAACTTGTTAAAGACACACTGTTGACTATGATACTTTACAGAATCGTGGCCACAAGTTTCTGCAAATGAAGTTTACTACTGTCAAATCAAGAAATATCCCACAGTTCAGATTTTCATAAATAGTGCTTCTTTTAAAATAAAAACAAACATGTTGTCTTGTCTGTAAAATTATATTTCTAGTCCACTTTATAGAATGTTAGAATGCTTATAAATACATTGTATGCTGTGTGCTCAGTCACTCAGTTGTGTCCGATTCTTTGCAACCCCATGGATCTCCATGGAATTTTGCAGTCAAGAATACTGGCATGGGTTGCCGATTCCTCCTCCAAGGCCTCTCTCCAACCCAGAGATTGAACCTGCATCCCTTGCATCCCCTGCATTGGCAGGTGGATTCTTTTTATCTCCTGCTACTGCTACTGCTAAGTCACTTCAGTCGTGTCCGACTCTGTGCGACCCCATCCCTGGGATTCTCCAGGCAAGAAGACTGGAGTGGGTTGCCATTTCCTTCTCCAGTGCATAAAAGTGAAAAGTGAAAGTGAAGTCGCTCAGTCATGTCCGACTCTTCTCGACCCCGTGGACTGCAGCCTACCAGGCTCCTCCATCCATGGGATTTTCCAGGCAAGAGTACTGGAGTGGGGTGCCATTGTCTTTTATCTCATAGTGAAAAACAAAAAGCAGTCATCACGCTGGCCCATGGAGCCATCTAGGGCTATTTTATATTTCCTACTGTTAGAAAAATTGAACTAAATAAGGAAAAAAAGCAAAGGACAGAAAAGAAATTTTACAAAATGGCAACTAGCATGACCTAAAAAAGAGTTACTAAAATATCTTCCTTCAATTCGGTAACCAAGCCCTTTCTGGAATGAACATTTACAGGTAACTAGGTTAGCAGAGTGTTCCTCTTAGTGCTCGGGGCAAAAATACAAGGTATGTTGAAATAACTTCTACCTTTGTATAAGGAAAGACAGACTTTGAAATGGAGTGACTTTTAAAAACCACAAACCTGTATTTAGCCAGAATGTTCAAGACTGACAGGTTTGATGGAAGGAAATCTTCACTGGCAACTAAATTAAAAATGGTAATCTTATGGATGCCAATTGTTTTTACCAATGTGAAGAAAGGAAACTTGATTGCAAGGTACAATAGACACAATCTAAAATGAGAAATTGTGAACAGTTCAAGTAACTAAAATGTTTCCTTTTGAAACACTGAAAGTGTGAGTTCCAAATTGTTTGAACTTGTAACATGTCTCTTAGAAGTATAAAGGTTGCTTTAGTTCTGTGGACCGTTGAATTGCCCTTTAAGTAAATATTGCCTCTATCTTAAAAAAAGAAAGAAAGAAAGAAACGGCTTCTGAATGGCATGAACTTCTTCATTGTGGGGAAATAGACTTGGCAAACTTGTTTCCGAGGCTCCCTCCAAGGAGATTGATTCATCCCATCAAGTCTATAGTATCTCCAGATCTGCACGTCAGACTTCAGAAGTCTGTCTACTTCAGCTCCTAACATTTTCTCCATGCTTAAGCAGAGAAGTCTCTAGTTCTGTTGGAGTCTTCGCATCTTGAATTTCTCATAACATGTATTCAAAATCTTGTTTTTCCAAATATCTTGTTACCAGCTCATCCATTGAGATGATCTACTTGCTTAAAGCTCACTTTCCCTAATCCCATCCTTTACTGATGGGTTGTTCTCCAGGAGGTCAGTAAGCTGCTGTACTTGTTCTGGCTGAATTGCCCTGAGAGTGCTTCTGAGTTAGTGTAGATGAGCAGTGCTGCTGCTGCTTAGCTGCTTGTGTCCGACGCTTTGCGACCCTGTGGATTGTAGCCCGCCAGGATCCTCCCTCCATGGGGATTCTCCAGGCAAGAATACTGGAGTGGGCTGCCATGCCCTCCTCCCGGGGATCTTCCAGCTCAGGGATCGAACCCAGGTCTCCCACATTGCAGATGGACTGTTTGCCGTCTGCGTCCCCAGGGAAGCCCGAGGAACGCTGAGACCATGTCTGATAAGACGCTGTCACACAGGGACCTAGGCTGTCACAGTGGATGGCCTGCCGTTGAAGGAAGGCCCGTACAAGTGGCTGCTCTCGTCGCTCCTGACACTGCTGCCGTATCCTCCAGTAGTGTTACATAGACTGGATTCTGTCCAGTGGTGATGCCTGCGCCACTGCAAGCAGCCTCAGCAGACCCAGAAAATCAACATGCATATCTTAATCATGAAGTCCCTGAGTTTTTTGGTTGTTTAATTTGAAGATTCAGTTCTATGAACTTCTTTTATGTAAGCTGTTTTAAGTTTGTTTTGAAAGTGGGTGGGATATAATTCACAAAATTAGGATGTCATGTAAAAAATCCTTATGTGGTAGTATGCTGCCTGAGAGCTGAATGTGATAATTATCTTTGGATTTGTTTGTCACTAAAAGTTAGCAGCCCTCTGTATATGTATTGACTGCTCCTAATAACTGGGATGTCTTTTTATAAATGTGCGTAACAGATTCTGACATCCCTGCTTTGCTGCGGTTTGCATTTCCAGCCGCCTGTCCTTCAGGGACTTTGCATTAACATCTTACTGAACCTGAAATCAGTAATGCCATTCAACTTCTGTTTGATGTGTTCAGCTACACGTTGTATTTTACTTTTAGGTAAATACACTTTCTTAATTTCTATATTAGTACTATTTTTTAAGTATAAATTGTCATCGCATAAGTTGTCATATAATTGTAAGTGAAGCCTTACTTAATTAACGTTTAGTTACTAGATTTCTCTTACCATGTGTTGGCATAACCTTATAGGAATTAAAGCACCCTTCTAGTCCAGTGTTGTCATATGATCTATATATATTATGTATTATGATGTATGATGTATTATGTATGTATGTATTCATATTAAATAATATGGAATTCCATTTTTCATTCTTAGTTAATTTGAATTATCTTGAAAAAGAGCAATTCTGACTCTTCTTCATGAACATTGCCATTAAGTTAAAAAATACAAAGATCATGGGGTTATCTATTAATGAGTGATAGTTCTCTTTGGGTGTTACTACACTAAAATATGATGAGCCAGAGAGTGGGGAAAATGGGGAGATGTTGATCAGAGGGTACAAATTTCCTGCTATATGATGAATAAATTCTGAGGATCTCGTGTACTAATTACCAGTAGTGTGTTATACACAGTTAACCTGGGTTTGAACTGTGCAGATCCACTGATACATGTGGATTCTTTTCAGTAAATATGTAGTATAGCACTACACGGTCCATGCTTGGTTGAATCTACAGAAAAAGAACCGCAGACTCAGAGAGTCAACTATAAAGTTAAACATAGATTTTTGACTGACGGCCACCACTCCTAACCTTCACATTGTTGAAGGGTCAGCTGAACTTGAAAGCTGTTCAGAGAGTAGATCTTAGTAATTATCACCACAAAAATAAATAAAAAGGTGATCATGAGGGGCTGGAGATGTTAACTAACCTTATTGTGGTAACCATTTTGCAGAAGATCATCATGTCAATTGTACTTCTTAAAGTTAACTTATATTTATTATGTACTAACAGTATCTTAGTAAAGCTAAGGGGAACACACAGTAACAGAACATATGAACCATTTATCTTTTTTAAGGATAAGAATCTCTTTTTCTAATTAAATATGGACAAAGTGCTTTTTAATATAATTTGTTCCACAATAAACTGTTTTGATTGCTGGGGGGAAAAAAAGACTGTGCTTGTAAAATATATGACATAACTTAAGCATGTATGGAAAATTACTATGGTTAGGTATATGTAAATTAAGAAAATGAAAAACTGTCTATAACTTTGATGAGCAGAATATATCTGGCTTGAACATTGCTCTGAAAAAGAATAGAGCCAGTGTCATTAATTGCCTCAGTGTTTCCCTTGAATGCTAGTAAATCTCTCAAGAGAAATTTAGTTATAAATCACAGTTAGCTTACTATACCCAAATATTATGTATGTTCATGCATTTGCTCCACAGGTGAACTGAAGGTTAGTCAGAAGCACTTTGAAGAAGCTTTCAAGAAAGTAAAATCATCTATATCAAAAGAGGTAAGCAATGCTCTTAAGGGTAGAAGAGCAATTAGAACTGAGAGTAGTAAGTATGAATTCATGACAAAAAGCAAAATGGTTGCCTCTGAGAGAGTGTTCTTGAGAGACTGTAATTTTGAATGTTTATAGAAACTAAACATAGAGAGGAAATGACCTCGTGAATGTTTTCATAATCTCAGAATTTTTAATCATTCTCATTCAAGTATTATTTGACCTGTATCACCCTTTGCACTTACTCATGGTTTCAGGAAAGTAAAAATACCTTCACTGTAAGGTCAGAGAAGAGTTAAAAATCACTCAGACTTGCCCTTACAAAAAATGCTAGATTTTACTGTATTTATTTCTTACTGTGTTGAGGTATTCTCTCTGTAGTAAGTTAAAATGTTTGCTGTTAAGTGAAGTGAGGTTACTGTGACACTGAAGAGTTTGCAGGGAAATATCCAACCCAAAGAAATGTCTGAATTGAACACTGGATATCTTAGGGCTTCCCTCATAGCTCAGTTGGTAAATCATCTGCCTGCAATGCAGGAGACCTGAGTTCTGTTCCTGGGTCAGGAAGATCCTCTGGAGAAGGAAATGGCAACCCACTCCAGTATTCTTGCCTGGAGAATCCCATGGACAGAGGAGCGTGGCAGGCTATAGTCCATGGGATCACAAGAGCTGGACACGACTTAGCGGCTAAACCACCTATCTTGGATGGATATCTTTTGTTTCTGGACTTCCAGAAGTCTAATTTGCCTTAGCCATGTGATTCTGTTTATTGACTATACTTAAAATTCCTCTAGCTCATTATCCATTTATTACCCCTGGCTCAGTATTTCTTAAGATTATTGATTGAAAACATTCAAGTCCAAGTTCAGACAGTTATATGAGATGGGTTGCTGTGTTCCAGTGCCTCCAGTCCTGGTGTAAATACTCTTATTTGACCATCTTATCACTTTTAACTAAAGTAATCAGGTAAGGAGTTTGGGCTGGTGATGGTGTCTTCTAAGTATATAGCTTACTTCTTTTTCAGCTCAAGTCTAGTCTGCTCAACCTGGCCTGGGTCTTTTACCATACGTGGAGAAATGAGAGTCTACTTTGACGTCTCAGGCATTTTGTACACTTGAGGAAATGTTTTTATTTCATTGTCTGTCTTTGAGTAAGATAGTCTTATTAATTAAAATCAAACAGTTTAACAGTTAATCTTCTGGCACTTTTCATTCTGATCAACAAGAAAGTAGTGATGTAAGTGCCCCCCCCCCCCCGCAAGATTTAGTCATTAAAAAACAAATCTTCCTTATGTTTATTACCTGTAATCAGAGTTTCGATTTGAGGCTTTTCAAGAATCAGGACACACTGGCACAGCTCCACATTTGTCACTCTCATCCTGTAAGCTTACTTTTTTAAAATTGAAATTTTATTTACCTTTGTAATGCACAAATACAGTTCTGTGCATGTGATGTTAACTTGCTTCAGTCGTATCCAACTGTGTACAGCCCCATGGACTGTAGCCTGCCAGGCTCCTCTATCCTTGGGAATTCTCCAGGCAAGAATAGTAGAGTGTGTTGCGTGCCCTCCTCCAGGGAATCTTCCCGACCCAGGGATTGAACCCACATCTCTTATGTCTCCTGCATTGGCAGACAGGTTCTTTACCACCAGCAGCATCTGGGAAGTCCTACAGTTCTGTAAGTTTTGGCAAACTTAACTGGTAGCTCAGTCAAAAACAGAGAACATTCTCATCACTTCAGAAGGTTCCTGTGTTCCTTTGTAGCTGTCAGTCCTTTTACAAAGGCTGTACCAGGCAAGCCGTGATCTGACTTCTGTCATCATGCTCTAACTTCACCTGTTTTGGAACTTCAAGTAAATAGAATCATATTGATATACTCATTTGTCTGGCTCCTTTTGCTCATGTAATGTTGCAGGGATTCATCCACATTGCTGTTTTTCACTAGTTTGATCCATTCTCTTGCTGAGTAGTTTTCCATGATATGAATATACTGCAGTTTGTGTATCCTTTCCCCTGCTGGTGGGCACTTGGGCTTTTTCCAGTTTTTGGCTTCCTCAGATAATAGTGTGTCAGAGAGAGAGAGAACAAGAACATGTGTTTTTATTTCTCTTGAGTAAATAACTAGGAGAGGAATTGCTGGATCTTGTGGCGAGTGTATGTTTAACTTTATAGGAAACTGCCAACCTTCTTTCCAAGTGACTGTAATACCGTTTTGCATTTTGTGAGCATTCCAATTGGCCCACACTCTCACCAACACTTGAGTATTTTCAGTCTTTTAATTTTAGCCATTCTACTGTGTGTGAAATAGTATCCTCTTGTGGTCTAAATTTGTTTTTCTAATGACAAAATGTTGAGTATTTTCATGTGCTTATTGATCATTTGGATATCTTATTTTGTGTCCTCACCTTTTGCTCTTAAAACATTGAGTTGTTAAAAAAAAAATGAGTTGTTTTCTTATTATTAAGTTGTGCAAATTCTTAGTTTATCTTGGCTTGAAGCCTTTTATGAGATACACATTTTTTTCTGAAATATCTGTAGGATTTATTTTGGAGTATAGTTAATTTAAAATGTGTTTCAAGATACATACAGCAAATCAGTTATGTATATATATCTCCACTCTTTTTTTTTTTAGATTTTTTTTTCTCATATAGGTATTACAGAACATTGAGGAGAGTTCTCTGTGATGTACAGTAGGTCCTTATTAGTTATCTACTTTGTATATAGTAGTATGTGTCATGTCACTCCCAGTCTCCAAATTTATCCATCCCTCCCTCTTTCCCCCTTGGTAACCATAAGTTTGCTTTCAATATCTGCGACTCTATTTCTGTTTTATAAATAGAAGTTCATTTGTACCATTTTTTTCTAGATTCCACATATAAGCAGTATCATATTTGTCTTTCTTTTTCTAACCTACTTTACCTACTATAATAATCTCTAGGTTCATCCATGTTGCTGCAAATGACATTAATTTTCTAAAAGCATCTTTTGAAGAACAGGAGTTTTTTATTTGTATGAAATCCAATTTTTTATAAATGTGTTTTTCTGTCATAAGAAATCTTGATTATCCTAAGTTTATGAAAATTTTCTCCTTTGCTTTTCTCTAGTAGTTGTATAGTTTTATCTTTTACATTTAGAACTATGATCCATTACAAACTAATTTTTTTAATTTAAAATGAGATAGAGAAGTCATGATATTTTTTCCCATGCAGCTGTCTAGTTACTGTGGTCCTGTTGGTTGAAAATACTTTCCTTTCATTGAATTATCATGCCCTCTTTTTGAAAACCAATTGATCATCTATGCATGAATGTATTTCTTCACACTTTTTTCTGTTTCACTTATCTTTATATCCAGTTTATGCCACTGTATATTTTTTGCCACTCTCTTGATTATTTTACATCAATTTTTAATTTTTATTTATTTTCTGGCCACAGTATGTGGGATCTTAGCTCCCCAACCAGGGATCAAACCTGTGCTCCCTGCAGTGGAAATTTAGATTCTTAATCACCGGACTTTTGGGGAAGTCCCCTTGATTATTACAGAATAGATATGTTAATCTTGAAGTCAGCTAGTTTAAGTCATTCAGATTTCTTCTTTTTTTCCCCAAAAATTGTCTTATCTATTTTAGTCTCTTTGCTTCCCCATATAAAATTTGCAATCAGTTTATCAATTTCTGCAAAAGAAACTTTCTGGGATTTTGAATGGATTTGCATTGAATCTGTAGATCAGTTGGGAGAGCAGAAGTATTAAAAATACTGAGTTTTTCAATCAGTGAACTTAGCATATCTGTTCATTTATTTAGATAATTTTATTTCTTTTATATAAATTTATTCATTTTTTAAAAATTCACTTATTAGAGCCATTTGATCTCTCCCAGTAATGTTTTGCATTTTCAGGATGCAAATTTTTCAAGATGTACATTTTTCATCAAATTTATTCCTAAGTAATTTATAATTTTTTATTTTTATAATGTTGTTTAAAATATTGTTCTCTAATTGCTACTAGTATATAGAGGTTCATTTGGTCTTTATATATTGACCTGGGATAGCTCTTCATTTGTCATTCTTTTGCCTTCTTTACTTCTAAATATTTACTTCAGTTTTCTAGACTAAAAAAATGAAACCATCTTGTTTGTATTTGCCTGCTCTAGTTTTGAAAAGCTTCCATGTTTAATGTTTTTACATTTAACTGTTACATATTTTGCAGTTACAATTAAGTATTGTATTAGAGTTGACTATAAAAATGTCACGCAGAGTTGAAAATTGCTTGCTTGACCTATCCTTAAATTGGGCCACATTTTCATCCTTGCATCTGTGATAATTAAGGAGTAAAATCTAATTTTGTTACCTTTTCTAAAACTCTGCTGGTAAATTTGAAACCAGTGGATGTTATGTTTGGGTGGGGGGGGAAAGGTGTTAAGTCTCTGCTTTCTGGTTCTCCTTCACAGTCCACAGCTGTACCAGAGAACATCTTCCTTCCTTAAATTGTTTTAGTTGAAGTACAGTTGGTTTACAATGTTGTGTTAGTTTCTGGTGTACAGCAAAGCTGAATCAGATATATATTTATGTATATTATATATGTGTATATATATACTTTTCATATTATTTTCAGTATTATTTAAGATATTAAATATAGTTCCCTGTGCTATACAGTAGGATTTTCTTTATCTAGTTTATTTATTTTGGCCGAGCTGTGACGCTTGCAGGATCTTAGTTCCCCAACCAGGGATTGAACCCCAGGCCCCTGGCAGTGAAAGCGTGGAGCCCTATCTATTGGACCTCTGGGGAATTTCCTATCTCTTTTATAAATAGTAGTTTGTATCTGCTAATCATGAACTCCTAATTTATCTCTTCCCCAGCCCCTTTCCCCTTAAGCAGCTGTAAGTTTGTTTTCTGTGTCTGTGAGTCTATTTTGTAAATAGATTCGTTGGTGTCATGTTTTAGATTCTACATACAAGTAATTTCATATGGTATTTTTCTCGTTGTCTGACTTAGTTCACTTAGTATGATAATCTCAGTCTGCATGTTGCTGCCAATGGGCATTATCTCATTCTTCCAGAAGGGTACCAGTGGGATTGCTGGATCATATGACTACTCTATTTTTGGGAAACCTTTTTCTTTCTGATTTAGGAGAATTCAGTTGAAATTAGAGGAGTTGGATAGTCAAACAAAATCCATTTGAAAAATCAAACCAAAAGACAGGTATGGCGTTTGTTGATACATTTCTGAATGTAGGATTGAGCGGCTCATTTGTAAGCTTCCCCTTTCTACTTTTAATATTAGGGTTCCTTTAGTTGTAAATGACAAAAACTCAAGTCTGTTTGTGAGGAATCCATTCCACATATAAGGAAGTTGGGAGTATTGCTGGCTTTAGGCATGCTGGATCCAGAAACTTCATTGCTTTGTTTCTTGTGGGAAAAGGCTGCCTGCAGGCCCAGACATACAGGCTGCTTGTTTATTAACCCCCATAGCAAGAGAATTTCTTGATATCTCCAACAGGAGAGTTTCAGGGAACCTGTGATTGGTCCAGCTCAGGTTAGAGCCCATGGCAAAACTAATCACTATGACTAGCTCTAAAGTTAGATACTCTAGCCAGGTGGAATGTAAGGGGTAGCATAGTTTTCTAAAGATCATGACTTCAGGCCCTAGGATAAAAAGCTATAGATAAGACACTGGCATCAAGTTATTGACTTAGTGGCGGACTTAAGTTTTTTCAGACTGAAAGAGAATCTACTAGGCTTGTTAAACACACAAGGAACACCTAATTACATTTTATATTTTAACCTTTCAGACATACTTATGGAGATAGCAGTTGCATTGAAGTGAGTTAACATTAAAAAATGATTGGGAGGTGTCAAAAAAGGAAAAAGAAAAATGAAAGGAGAACAGTGGGCACATTCTGTCCCAAGGTCCCCAGAGCTGGTCTGTATAGTTCAGAAATGTTCAGCCTGTTCTCATGCTAGGTAAATCTGCCCTGCTAACTGGTGCCTTCTCTTTCCTTGAAGCAGTCGGCTCCCTGGTGCCACACGGTTTTTAGTTTGAGGGGAAAACAACAGCATGTGAAGTGGATTCGGTGTCCAGCAATTGGCTAACATGCTAGTAGGGTCTGGTTTAGAGGCCAGATGCAGAAACTTGTCACCTGACCCAGTAAATCCTCATAAACCAGCTGAGGGTGAGATGTGAGCACAGTTTGCAAACATTCCTTCTGAGTCTCTGCCTGTATTCCTCATTCACTCCTACTTCTTCGCTGCCAATCTTTCAGGCTCCCATCTGAAGATCCCAGCCCCAGTCCTAGTTTCTCATGAGAGGCCACGTCCTAGTGTGGTCCTAAGAAGGCCGAATAGATTAGCAGTTCATTATGACAGATACCCCAGCTTAGACGATTGGACTCTTTTTGTCAGTTACTTCTTAGTCAGCTGTTTACTTTCTTCCCTGAATGAAGCCATGATCCAATATGTGTCACTTCACAGACTTATAAAGCATAACTTATTTTGTTGATTTGGTTTTTTTGGTAATAATTGCTCACCAGAGACCTGAGCCTGGGTTACCATCAGTAAATGTTGAGACCTTGAAATTGTTTTCCCAGCTATGTATTATCTCAAATGTAGTCTTTTCCCTCTGCCTACTATGGCATTGTTCAACTGTCAGGAAGGAAACCTCACTCAAACATAAATTAGGTATTTTTTTCCTTCCTCCCCTATTAAAACCACACCATAGAAACACTCCTGTTTTATTAACTCATTGGTTTAGTGTTTTTCACACCCACTGGCTGGCACACTTTGATTCTCTTCTTCACACTCGGGATTATATGGTTCATCCGTTTGCTTGATCAAATCTGTCACATTGAGAGAGAAAAACTTCCCAAGTAGAGTTGCTCTTGCCTCTAGCTGTGTATTGAGTTGCCTAAGATCCCATCCTTTCATCCATCCAGAAACATATATGTATATCATGTACCTACCATATACATGCCAGGCTTTGTGCTAGACTCACAAGATATAAAATTGCATAAGTTGTGGGTTAGGAACCATTTTGAGCAATTAAATACACTACCATAGATGTGTATATAGAATACGTATTAACCTGATCACTCAGATTCCTTCAATATTAGAAAATAGTTTGCAAGTAACTTTTGCTTAGAAGGTATCAGCACAGTGTGACAGAGGCAGTGTGACTGATTTTATTACTAACATATCTGAACCAGTAGTTCCACACACTGTGTAATTTTTTTAATCCTCTGAAGAACATCCATGGGAAGGCTACATGTGTGTCCCAGTGATACTACTTGATTCCAATATATTCTCTTTAATACTTTTGATGGTCATAAACCTTAAAACTTTAAAATATTTAATTTCTAAAACTACCCTAGTGAATCATAAGCTATCACTTCTCTTTTGGAGATAGGCATGGTATGAATTTTGAATAAATAATAAATAAAAGAGATGACCAAGCTGATTATTATTACTTTGTGAGATCTTTTAAAAAATTAAGGCACAACAATTAAGGTAAAAAGACAGCTTTCCTATTTGGAGTCATAACTGTCCCTGATGAAACTAATGATTGCTTGTGGGGAGAGAAACTGGGTGACTGGAGGACAGAAGTTTGAAAATTGACCTTTCATCGTATTTGAATTTTGAACCATGTAAATGTATTACCTAATTTAAAAACTTAAATACTAAAAAAATAATAATTTACAAGATCTTGAGGACCAAAGTCGTAGTGATAGTTTTTTCTGGAAATTAAGGATTACTTTTTAATTTTTTCTGCTGATTTGCATTTTCTAATATTTCTACAATAAATATTTTATAAAACACTGTTATTAAAAAGGGAATCACTTTAATCTGGCTGTAAACACAGCATGCTTAAAATGTCTTTGTCGTTGTTGTTCAGTCCTGTTCGACTCTTTGTGACCCCGTAGACTGTAGCACGCCAGGCCTCCCTGTCCCTCACCATCTTCCAAAGTTTGCCCAAGTTCATGTTCATTGCATTGGTGATGCTGTCTAGCCATCTCATCCTCTGATGCCCTCTTCTCCTTCTGTCCTCAATCTTACCCAGCATCAGGGACTTTTCCAGCGAGTTGTCTGGAATTCCAGCATCAGTCCTTCCAGTGATATTCAGGGTTGATCTCCCTTAAGATTGAATGTCTTTACTACACCTTTATTATTTAGCAGTGAGTTGAAATACCAAGGCCCTCTTATCCTACTTCAGAGTTAATTCAGCATTTCACTAATACCTGTTTTATATTCACTGTTGACATTGTTTGAGCTACTTGCCAGGAGTTGGTCCAAGGGTTACAAAATGGTGTTTTCACTGCCATGGGCCCAGGTTCAATCCCTGGACAGGAAACTTAAGATCCTGCAAGTTGCATAGTGCAAACAAAAAAAAGAAGAGAGAGGTACTTGAAAAAAAATCACTGAAATAAATATATAGAATTTTTTTAAAATTAATCTTTACATGGTCTTCTGTGCATTAGTCTTTACGTAGTCTTCCCTCTGTGCATGTCTGTGTCTTACTCCTCTTATGAGGATACCAGATGATACTGGATGTACTAAAGCCTACCCTAATGACTTCATTTTAACTTAAATCACTTAGACCCTTATTTCCAAATCCAGTCACACTCTGAGGTACTGGAAGTGAGGACTTCAACATCTGAGTTTTGGGGAGCACGGTTCAGCGCATTTCAGTGTCTGGCTCCATATTCTGTCCTCTCCTCTCCTCTCAGGCTCGAGCAATGTATGCGGATCTGCAGTGGTCCCTCAGCCGGTGACCCCCAGCAGCGAGCTTCCGGGAGTCCAGTGCCTCGAGCTGCCAGAGATGCCCGCCTGCTCTGAGCGCCCACTTTCAGCTTGATACGTGTGCTCTCACATGAGCGTTTTATCCTCAAATTAATGAGGCCAAGTCAAAGCTGAAGATTCTTCCCATCCGGACAACCTCATATGGAAACACCCTACCTCCTGTTTAAGGGGAAAAAAAATTAATTGTCAAAATAACAGATAACCTTTTTAAAATAAAATGTTCATTTTGAAACAACCTCGACTGTACTACAGATAAGTTGCAATTACAGTAAAAAGAACTTCCCCCGAAAAACCATCTGAGGGTGCTTCCCAACCTGATGTGTGATCACCCGTAAATACTTTATATTTTCTGCACAGCAGGATAGTCCCCTGCATAACCAGCCATCCACATCAGATAACTGTGTCAGCTGTGATACTTCCCTGCGAAATCCTCAGGCTCCATTCAGGTTTCTCCAGTTGTCCCAATGAGGTCCTTTATAACAAAGGAATCTAGTTTGGAATTAGCTATTGCAACTCATTGCTTTTCTGTTTTGGGCGGGGCGCTGCACTGGGTCTTCATTGCCGCACGCAGGCTTTCTCCAGTTGTGGCGAGTAGGGGCTACTCTTCGTTGTTGTGCACGGGGTTCTCATGGCAGCCGCTTCTCTTGTTGCAGAGCACAGGCTCTAGTTGCCCCGCAGCATGTGGGATCTTCCCTGAACCAGGGATCAAACCTGTGTCCCCCACATTGGCAGGCAGACTCTTAACCACTGAACCACCAGAGAAATCCTGCTCTTTTCCTTGAAGTCTAGAACAACTCCTGTCTTAACTTTTGACACTTTTGAAGGTTATTGGCCAGTTACTTTGTAAAATGCCTTCAATGTGACTTTGTCTGTTTCCCTATAATTAAATGCAGCTTGTACATCTTTGGCAGGAATAAGCATCGTGAAGTGATGGTCTTCTCACTGCATCCTGACAGGTAGGTGCAGTCTCGGTTTGCTCCATTACTAGGGATGTCCACTTTGATCACTTACGAGGGTCCTGCCCAGCTTCTTACACTATAAAGTTACTCTGATCAAACTCAGATGTTGCTATGGTTTTAGTGTGCTGTCTTTTACTCTTAATCATATGATGTTCAAACTGTCCCAGATTCAGTCAGTTGGGAACCCGTCCACATTTGCCTCTGTGCACTTTTGACAAGTCTCTAGCTGATAATTTCAGAAGGGTTTGTGTCATGTTTTATCTCATTCCTGATTTACAGTGCTGCTCACAGTGTTTTCTGAGATTGTGTAGATGGCTTTGGTTACCTACTTTTTCCCCTTCCAAATTTTCTATTCCACCTGACTCTGCAAAAGTGTTCATGCTACTTTAAAAAATGTGATTGATAAAATGAAGAAAACAGTAATAGATCAAAGCAAGTCAGGTAAGTAGGGCACAGTCCTTTTTTTTTTGAAGAGTTCACAACCAAATATTGACCTCTAACCAGAGTATCACAATACCCAAGGGAGGGGTGTGGAAAGGAGGGTGCTGTAGGACCCCAGAGGAAGAACACCAAAAGGAAAAAGCAAATCAGGATCATGTCTTCAGCATAGATGATTAAGAATGAAAGTTAAAATGTGTAGGCCAGAAGGTCTTGAAGAGTTATGTAATTTGAGTAATAGATTTGATTGGGCTTGATAGCAGCCAAATCAAGAGAGGAACGCAGTCTGGTATGTGATATATAATATAAGAGATAGTAAAGAGATAGTCTTGACAATTTAATTTTCTTGACAATTTCTAGGCAAATAGGTCTAAAGTACCGAACTTTCTGGTTGTTTCAGTTTAGTCGCTCAGTCATGTCCGACTCTTTGCGACCCCATGAATCACAGTACACCAGGCCTCCCAGTCCATCACCAACTGTCAGTTTATTCAAACTCATGTCCATCGAGTCGGTGATGCCATCCAGTCATCTCATCCTCTGTCGTACCCTTCTCCTCCTGCCCCCAATCCCTCCCAGCATCAGGGTCTTTTCAAATAAATCAGCTCTTCACATCAGGTGGCCAAAATACTGGAGTTTCCGCTTCAGCATCAGTCCTTCCAATGAACACCCGGGACTGATCTCCTTTAGGATGGACTTGTTGGATCTCCTAGCTTATCCTAAATGCCAAGTGTTGACTGCATCACAGGTTAGGCTGCATTTGTCCATCAGCTTTGCAAATCAGCTGTGATGTAGGTTGGACAGCAGGGAGTTATTGGGCAGGAAGTTAACCAACTAATGTCACAGAGAATATTGCCAACACTCTCCATAAGGAAGGAAAGATAACGTGGTCTAAGCACCATCTGTGTGCTGGACAGTGTTGTATTGTTTTAATTTTCCCAACTCTTACTCCCCATACAGTAGGGATCGAATAGCATCTTCATTTTATTAAAAAGAAGAAGAGCTTCTTCACAGTTACCTGCTGTATATACATTCATGTATATGGAACAGTCTGAATTCTGGTCCACAGCTGTCCGGCTTTTCTTTCTCTTGAGAGTAAGTTCCAGGCCTGTGTTAGGAAACATCTGGAGTTGTATCCTCTGTTCTAGCATTGTGAAAGATTCCACAATCTCATTAAATGCTTTATGCTGTGCACTGATAACATAATGGTAGACTCGAAACATACTGCCTAATTTGGTATGTATAGTGGAAATAGCCAGTTGTCCCGTAATATCCATTCTTCCCTCCTTCCTTTTAGTAGGAAGGGTTCTTGCTGCCAGGAGAGTGACTGTGTTCTGTGTATTGTAATATGAACACTGGTGATGACCTCAGTTCTGGTCACATCCTTAAAAAGAAGAAGCTTGAACTGCAAACCTATCATTAACTGGGGGCAATCTGCATTGAACTCTTAGCACATAAGCAGACTCTGGAAAATGTCCTCATAAACCACACCTGGTTTAAAAAAGAAAACACTGCTTGCCCATTTAATTCTAGGTCTCCCTTCCCTAGGCTGGAATGATGAAGATGAACTGGCTTTGACCATATAAATGGGGACATTCTAGGAGGTGACAGAACCATAAGACATAAGAAACTAAGATTCCTAAGCACTTGTTGGGCAGTTTTATCACCACTCAAGGCTCATTTAGCCTGAACATTTATGTGTGACCTTTATCTTGCTTAAGCCAGTTAAATTTTTGTCTCTGTTAGAGCAGCCAAACTAATATCCTGGTTAATAGCATGTTGAGACAAGTAAGGAGGAAATTGCAAAACAGCGTGCAAATGGCTGTGAAGGGATGAGAATAGATGCTGTTAGGAGGAGCACAGAGGAGAGGCAGCTGGCTCATCATGGGGTCAGGGAAAATTCTCCCAAGAAAATGATGCCTCAGCTGAGTCTTGAAGGCTTGAGAGGGAAATGCAGGAAGAGAATAAATGATCTGACAGACGGTAGAAACTTCAAGATGTGAGAGGGACTGATGTCTGGGAAACTCATTCTCCTGTTCATCAAAGTTGTGTTTACAAGAGGATCTTACTTCCAAAAGCTGAAATAGAAAGCACTTAGTTATGTGTTAGGCACAATCTTCAGTCATTGTTTATCTCAACTGAATGGATTTGGATATATTTTTGCACCACTCAGTTCCAAAGCCTAGAGGCCAGGTAGATTTGCGATAAAACGGAATCCCACTCCATTGCTTTAGCTCCATGAGACCTAATGCTTGTCTCTAGCATCAGCATTTTTAATTTTCAACTTATTTTTTATAAAATAAGGTCAACAAATTGAATTAAATACGTAGGCGTTAACAGTTGGCTGACTTTAGGTCTCCTGCTAAGTTTCATGAGGGGAAGGATCCTGTCAGGCTTGTCTCCTTAGCATCCAGCCCAGTGCCTGGATCACAGGAAGCATTTAATAAATATTAAATGTTATTAGGCAACAGGACTGTCAAAATTAGACACTGTGCCCGGCCTCTCCCTCTGTGGGAGAACTGTAAGTGTTGATGCATTGGGTAATAAAAACCTCACTGTGTCATATGAAAAAAGATAAAGGAACAAGTGAATACCTATAACCAACAGTTTCACTCTAATACATATATCCAAAACACAAATGCGTATACCAAGATAGCAAAATTCATAATTGACCAAAAATGGAAACCTAAGTGTCCATCAATAGTAGAACGGGTTAACATGGTATCTTCATGCACTAGAATATTACACAGTGATGATGAACTATACACAACAACATGGATCATTCTCACAGATACTGAGTGGAAGAGCCCTATCCTGAAATCATCTTGGGCAGTTCTACTTATTAATATATAAAATTCAAAAGACAGCTGGTCAATGCCATGAGAAGTCGGGCTTACAGTTAATGTTAGAGGGCAGTGCCTGGAAGAAGCACCGAGTGGTGTGGCCTCTAGGTTGCTGGCTACACCCTCCTGGATCTGATGACAGTTTCCTGCGTGTGTTTTCTTAGTGATGATTCATTGCTTATCATAGCTCTTTTTTGTTAGTATGTTCACTTCAGTTAAAATGTTTTTTTAAAAGAGCTTATGAAGATTCATCTATAATTTACTATTTCATCTGATTTTATTTATAATAAACATTCCAAAAATTTAAAAGGATAGGAGTAGCACTATTAAAAATGTAGATCATTTAAAGGTAAGGAACCACATAGAACCCAGTATACCTGAAGAAAAGCCAGCCACATGTTTCTTTTTCCCCTAAAACACCAGGCATGTTGCTCATACTGTCCTTTCAGCTGGTTAGAGTTAAGAAAGTGAGGTTAAAGAGGTGAATGGTAGTGGAATTTGGTTGGTTAAATTACCCCACCTCTAATGTCTCTCTCTCTACCTGGGAAAATGTGAGTTTCAAGGATGTCTGTAGCCATCAAGGTTGTCTGGACAAATGCTGCTTTCTGGAATGTTTCCTTAGATGGCATGTTGGCCATGCAGTCTGGTCCCACTGCCAGGTAAGCTTTGCCCCTAAGAGCAGGAGAGCGGGAGGAACTTGGCAAAGTTTGTTCCAAAGAACTCTTTCTTAGGTGT